CTAAGACATGGTCCAGCCGTTCTACTCTGAAAAGGAAAGTCTACATAAATCTGAAGACTTACCACAAATGTTCATACCAGCTTTATTTGCAACAGCCAGAAACCATAAACAATCTAAATCTCCTCTCACAGGCAAACAGAGAAACGTGATACATCCATACGTGAACTGCTACTCGGCAATAAAAAGGAATTACTAACACACGCAACGCAAACTAACCTCAGAACGGTTTTTTCCGAATGAAAGACAGAAGTAAGTATGCACCACAAAACTGAACTTATATAAAGTTCTAGAAAATGCAAACTAATGCTTAGTGACAGGAGCAGACCAGCGGCTGCAGAGAAGCAGGCATGTTGGGAACTTTCCTGGGCGAGAACCACAGTCTTGATTGTGGTGATGATGTCATCAAAGAATACGTCAAAACTCATCAGATTTTACACTGCAGATACGCTCAGTGTATTTCACACGTTCAGTCAATTATATTACAATAAAGTTGTTTCTAAAAAAAGAAAAATCAGATTCACGTAACACTGGAGAGGGATTGGTTATAGAACATATACAGTTACTTTTGTCACTGAGAAAAAAATAGTTTACTTATATTATTTATTGAGAATCAACTCAGGACAGAAGCCATCAATAATGCATACGCATTGAAGAAAATGATTATACTTTTAGCAAAATATACCAGAACCCACCCACTTAGCCAAACGAATGCTGTTTTCCCCAAAACACAGACTGTGAGAATAAAAATCCTTATTCTGATGCGTGGTCTTTGCTCAACACAATTTCTGGATTGTCTCCTGGATTTGAAATAATCTTCATTCCCTGTGTAAAAGCAGCACAAGAAAATCTTTTATTGTTTTTACGATCACACCTGGTAAATGAAATCCTTATTACACTTCCCACGTTAAAGCTAGGATCTCCAAAAATGTATTTGAAAACAACCCAATTTTGACACAGTTTCACACACTGCCTTCTGACAATTTCCTTGGTGGCTATTTTTTTTCAGGAACATTATTTTGGAACAAAATTGGCTTTGTGTTTCCTTTCATGCAATATACACACAGACTGAAAACCAGGCTTTCTAGGATAAAACTACATGTTTCTAAGTGGAAAATGACAAGTATCTTCAGTGAATAAAATGCGATGATTCAAAGATAAGCTTGAAACTAGTGTAGTCAAAAATATTACAATGCCCCCATTTTACCAGCATCACTTGATCTGTCTTTGGAATAGCACACAATTTTCCGTAAAACTTTTTATTACCGTTGTAGTTAGATTAGGCACAGTACAGGAGTATTTGTAGAGATACTTACGTTATGAAGTGTGAAAACTGGCACACAGACTCGTGTGCCCACCATCCACATCAGGAACTGGACACTGCCCGTTCTGGGCTCCTCCTGACCCGGCCCTCAGCCTCCCACCCACCCCCGTCCTGGCCCGGAGAGGACCCTGCGGAATGGTGGCTTCTCATCCCATGCCGTAAGTACGTGGCCATAATCACACGTGTATGGCTGGGCTGGCTCTTGCCTCACGAGGTTTCACACTGTGCTGGTGTTTTCACCCAACACCAGATTCCTAAGATGAATGGCTGCACAGGCCGCAACCGGGTCGTCCAGTGTCTGCTACGTGACACTTCACTGTGCAGATGTACCATGAGTTGCTTGCCAGGCCCTGTCGACCTGTGTTGGGTCGGTCCCACTTGGGTGCTACGACCCTGCATGTGTTCCCTGGTGTGCACGTGCAAGAGGTTCTCCAGGACTGCGGTTCTCACACTGGGCAGGAGCTTAAACAAAGCTCGTGTAAAATGCAGATTCTACGCTGGGGCTGGACCCAGGAATCGTCATTTTAACAGACATGCAAGGCATTAAACACATTCCGCTTTAACAAACCGGGCTCCTGCTGTACGCTAGTGGCTGCTGGAGCAGGGAGGCACGCACGTGCCAGACTTCAAACACAGTGTTTTCCAACTTGTTGTAACATTTTACATCCAAACCAATAGTTATAAAGTCTCCTCTTCTGTGACATACCTGCTCATGTCTGCTGCCCAATTCCCAGTTCTCCCAGACACGTGGAATTCTGTGCACTGTCCTGCACGCCAATCCTCTGTGGCTTTTACGTCTGGTTGTTCCACCTTACAAGGGGCCCTTTAACACACAGACCCTTTCATTTCCGTGTGGTTGGACGCATCAATCTTTTCTAGTATGGTTAATGCATTTTGGGGTAGTTGTTTAATAAACACAAAGTCATAACAAAGTTTTTAATGTTAACGTTTTTCCTTCAACATAAAACGCTGGAGTTCATTTTGTTTCGGTGTGAGGTAGGGATCCAAACTCATTATCTTCTTCCACGTGACTAACTTACCACTAGAACCATTCATTCAATAGGCCACTTTCTCCCCTCTGATCTGTGAATACGAGCTGAAATAGTTCAGGTTTTGCACATGCACAGGCCAATCCTGACCCCTCTCTTCTCCTGGTCAATTTCCCGCCCTGTGGGGGCCCCACACACACTGGCTGCAGCCCTGCCGGGCTGGGGGGAACCACTCATTTCTCCTCCTCTCCCTCCTTTTTTCTCTTCTTGGGCAACGTGTTAATCCCGGCCTTTGCTCTAATAAATTTAGGAACCAGACCGTCCAATTCCTCAAAAACCCCTGGGGTGATCTAGACTGGAGTCTCCCTGAGTCTCCTTCGTCCATGGGCAGAACAGACATTTTCACAACACTGACTCTTCCTACGAATGAGCAAGACAGTCTCTCGTTCTACTTGTCTTCTCTTTCAGTCTGTTGACGTTTTAAATATCCCCACGGATGATCTCATCATGTTTCCCCACCAGGTCCCTCATGGGTTTTTGTTGAGAGTATACAGTGGAAACTTTTCAGATACAAGGTGATATACTTCAGTGGTTCTGAAATTTTAAAAACTATAAAACAAAATGCAGTAAAAAGTCACTTCTACCTAATTCTTAATTACCACATTTCCCAGCTTCCGACAGAAACCATTTTTAATCTTTTTTTATCTTTCCCACGTTGTTTTTTTTCTTTGTGGTTACCCTTTAAATTTCACTATAAATATTTACTAACACAAAGTTAATCAATATTTCCAGCCCGAAGACAAACAAAAACAGGCATTTTAAACTACCAGCTCCAAACAGACAATTTGGCACAGGTGTCTGCTGGCGTGTCGGCTGATTTTGAAACCATTCCTCTGCGGCTTTTCCTTCTCACAGGATCTCCTTAAGAAGCTCCCTTGGGGAAGAAGCACCGGTGAAAACTGCTTCTGTTTATCCCCAAGTCATCTCTGTTCCACACTCACTCTGGAAGGAAGCCTGGCCAAGCACAGAATTCCAGTTATTTCCCCTGCTCACTTCGAAGCACTTGGCGTTATTTTCACTCCAAAGGACCAATGGAGAGAGGCGGACCTTCTCAGTCCTAGCGCCAACGTTTTCCAGGCAGGATCTGCCAGCCCCGTTTGGGTCAGACTGCCTGGGTGGGAGGACGTGCTGCTGGAGTGGCCCTGCCAGGGCCCAGCGGTCCAGGGAGGACATAACTTCGACCTGGGTTACAAATCACAGTCTCTGAACTTGACTGAAACTTTCCAACACTTCCTGTTACCATGTAGGGAGGGGGTCCTGCTCACACACTTCAGGCTGCGCTTGAAGCATCCTTCAGGTGACCAGGAACCCATGTGCATGCATGCACTGACGGAGCCCATGAAGCGTCCTGACTGGGACTGCCCGCCCACACTCTCCTGGTCCCACCGCCCCAGCACGGCCCTGCAGATCCCACGGAACCAGTGCCCTGTGCATTCTGCGCACGTGGAGCAAACCTGCTCTTCCCAAGGCCTATTCAACCCCAACTCCCGCGCTCGGTGACACTTCCCGAGGCAGCCTCCCTCCCTCTCATCCCTTCACCTCCTGACACTGCTGGCAACCTTCAGGCTCCAGTTCGAACCTCACCTCTTTAGAGACGCCTCCTGGGCCGCACTGTGAGCACAGCCCCTGCCCCCATCCCGCCTACAGCTCTCAGGGCCAAGGCTGCTTAACCTACCTTTGTTTTGGCCAAAAACTGCTAAAAATGTTTTAATAAGCTTAACTTTAAATCCACAGTACTTGCGCGACTTCATCTTCAGCTCCCTCCCACAACACGGATGGCACACCACAGGCTGCACGTGGACCTGCTGATCCTTGGAGTGCCTTCCTTGACTTCTAATTCATTAAGTAAAACAGAAAATCTACGGATAGTAAGGGAGACACATCTCAGTGGCATTTTGATAAAATCAAAGCAAACAAGTCTTGCCTTCTTGATTCTTCACACTAACATGTTAACTTCCAAATGTAACTAGGAACATAATTATGAAATTTAGACAATAGTCACATTTCTGAAGCGTAAGGTGAGGAAGTAATTGTAGGGAGCTCCGACCCTTTGGGGACTGAACGCACCCAAGGCCCACGCACCACGGGCAGCGAGCCATGCTAGTCCAAGCAGGGCCGGTGGTGCATGGGGGCCGGTGGGCAGGGCTCTGGCACCTGCAGAGTCCCCACGACGAGCGCACACCCCACCCGCACGGGTGAGAGCGGGCGGCGAGCAGGCCACGGCAGCCCCACTCGCACCTCCCACAGAAAGCCGGCTGACTGTAACTGTGATGGTTCTCAACCTTCAAACAGGCTTGATTACAGGAAGCACAGGACAAGCATCTCATGAAATTGAGGAACTGGGACAAGTGTCTGTGTCCTGTCCCACTGTTAACTCCCTTCAGAAATTTTTGGGCTGGTGATGCAGCAACAGAGAAGCGGAGCACAGACCGTTTAATTTCAGCACAGCTGACCCTCTAAGTCCAACATTAAGCTTTTTCAAGCAGCAACACTGCAACTCACCTGTTCTGCTGCTACATGGCAATGATGCCCGGGGGCCGCCGACAGAGTTTTACCAAAGCAAAACGTTAAAAAAAAAAGAAAAGCAAAATAATAAAGAAGAGACTCCTAGTAACACAACACTTACAGAGTAATATACGCAACATGGATTTTTAATGAATTTCATATTGCAACTGAAGACACTGAACACTTAAAAACAATTACATCGATACAATAAAAACACCTGCTTCTACATGACACAAATGCATACGTTCTCCCCAAAGAAACCTGGTTTTCACAGATTTAAGCAACAGAAGATTTACATAGGATTCTTCAGATTCCAAAATATGTACAGGATTTTGATTCTACAGAAACGAATGTGCAGTGGCTGAGAAAGGGTGTTGCCTCGTCCAACAACATACCTCTCGTGAAATTCTCTATCAACATACGCTTTTCAGTAACCACACGTTTCCTTCTCTCATTAGAAGAAATTCTGGACACGTCGGCATCATGGACAAAGCCACTCCCATTTCCAAACAGCATTTCAGACGAGATCAACATGGCTGCTCACCGCACATGCGCACACACACGCTTGGGCACACGCACACACGCACATCCCTACCCCCGTCTCCCTCGCAGCTCCTGGAAACACCCCTGTGGCCGCCGCAGCCGCAGGCCCCCTCCCCAGAAGGCCCAGGCTCCAGGGACGGAGGAGGTCGGCCCGCAGAGCGTGCTCATCTGGCACAGAACTCAACGCCAGCACAGATGTACGTTTCGAAACTTCCAATTTTTTAATTCTGGCGGAGACCTGGTTCTCAAATCTGGCTGAGCTACTTGTAGACCATTTCCAACGTTCGTAACAATGATTCTAAGACACTCAGACGTTCGGACCGAAGCAGGAAAGGAGCCCGAGCACGGGGGCAGCAGGGGAGGCACCTGGCGCCGAGCCCAGAGAGCAGGGCCGAGCCGCCTCATCCTCAGACGCCGGCCGGGGACACCAGACTCACCAACGACAAGTCCTTGAGCTTTCAAAGTAAAGCTGCTCAAAAACACCTGCTGTGGGTTGCTTACTTTGGTTCTTGCTGGCTCCTCCTTCCCTTCCAGGCTGTGGAAACCAGCTCGGAATCAGCCCACTCACTCAGGGCCGAGGGTCCTGAGCCCAGCGGCGCAGGGCCTGAGCTGGCGGAGCCTCGGGTGAGGCACATCCACACGGAAGCCACCGCCCTCAACCTCAGCTCCGCAGGCTCCAGCCCACGTCTCCATGCACACGGAGCATGATCCCCCCGTCCTCCCGGCTGGCCTCCAAGGGTCAGCACACGAGACGGGACACGACTCAGACAGTGGTCCCGGGTGTCCTCAGAAGGCGAGGGTGGTGGGCTCACGACAGCGGGGGCACCGAGGGCGTTTGGGTACCAGCCCCGCTGAGGGGGAGCCCTCACCGCCAGTGACGTGGGCCACGACCGACTCCCCCGCCTCCTGAGTGAAACGCCACATCAGGAGGGCGCTAACCAGGCAACAGTGAAACCCGAGGCCCCCAAAGACTTGTTTCGAGGTAGTGCTCAGATATTTGCATTGTTGGCTCTCAAATACCACCAGGGAAGTGAACCCACTTGAAACGTGCAAACCCAACGTGTAGAAAATAAATAAGGTTTGTTTTCAGGTAGCAGGGCTTTCCAGAAAGGTCAAGTCACATTCAATGGATAAATCTGAAACTTCTAAAAATCGTTTATAACCATGGCTATAAACTAAAGTGCTTTAAATTTCGCTTAAAATCTGAAATCAGTGATTAGAATCATTATATTTTAGATTTGCTAGCATGAGACCTCAGCACATTGAAATGATTTTCTATAAAAAGAGCAGAAACTTCTCCTTTCAAAAGAAACCATCCTAATGTTGTGAACTCAATATTCTATGCTTTTTCTCAAACTTCTCACATCCAGGTTGACTTCCCAGAACTGTAACAGAACAGAGCAGAGGCCGCGCAGACAGCACGCAGTGAGACTCCCCTAGACGCCGCTCCCGCCACCCATCAGCCACCTTCCTGGTACGCAGCAGGCGTAGACCACTGTTCCAGAGACGCAGAGACGCCCTATGCCTCCTGGGGAGTGCACGGTTCCCACTCATGCGAACGCAATGCCCTCCTGTCACCCGACACACCAGTAACTCACAACACGCGGCAGCGGGAGGGGCTCCGTTCTACCGACCAGCGATGCCCACACACACAGACGACAATGGGGGACAGGAGCACAGCACCCTGTGCGTTTCATGCAGGCTGCGCACTGGGGAGGGCGTGCACGTCGCCGTCCGGTCCGGCTCCCCAGGACGATGAGGGCCGGCAGTCATGGTCCTCGCCACCAAGGAAGCCGCGCGAGGCGGCGCCCTCACTTGTCCTGCAGCAGCGCGGGGATGTTGATGTTCCAGCCGATGGCTTGCCGGTCAAAGCCGCAGGTGAACAGATTGCACACGGGGTGGTCCTCGCTCCAGGCCGAGCCGCACACCATCCTCCTGTGGCCCTGTCACCAAGTACACGGCAGTCAGTGCAGGACGCCCCAGGCTCGACCAAACCAACCATGGCTCCACGCACACGACCCAGTGGAAACGGAAAACAGGAAAGCTGACAGGATTAGTCAAAGTGAGACAAGCGCCCTGAGTGACTGGCTCAGCGAGGAGCTGCTGCTGGAGAAGGGGGCAGAACTGACGGATTCCAGCACCCAGGGGTCTCCTCTAAGGAAATGGATCAGGTTACTGTCGACAGAAACACACAGACGGTCACTCTGAAATGTTCTAATGAGGAAGTGAGGCCAGATATCTAGAGGCAAGCTGAATGGAAGCCACTCAAAGACCTCAATTACCACTTCAACACATAATCAGCGCAGGTAATAAAGGAGCTAGAAAAACACCTTTGCTGCCAAATAAAACAAGGATGAGGTAAAGGGCCTTCAAGCAGATTGCTGCACCTTCAGGAACCTCAGGTAAGTATCAGAACGTTGGAAAAAATACTGCAACTATTTGCAAAGCTTATAGTGCATCCACTACCGTGTTCCCAGGTACCAGAAGTAGGACTCAGAAAAGCAGACAGAAATTTACCAAGTAAAAGAAACTCTAGAAAGAACCGCACAAAAGGTCCCTCTGCGAACGTTCACACGCGGGTAGCGCCGTCTCCACAGCGAGGAACCACAGACGCAGAGACCAAGCACTGGCCAGGGTGACGCCCACGACCAGGCGCAAGGACAAAGAACCCCCATTAAGGGCCTGGAAAGAACAAGGCGTTAACTGCCCGCCACAGCAGTTAAACCAAGGCCCTACCAGCACAACCCGGGGTCAGGGGCCTCGCAGCGGGCAGGGAGGAGCAGACGCAGCCGGGAGCCACACCAGCTCGCTGCGCGCGCCTCACGGGCTCTGCACTGACGCACGCTGACCCGCCACCTCGCAAGCACCCAGCACGGGCCGGCCTTGCACAAAGCGCACTCCCCCGAGCAAGCCCCTCGGCGCTCCACACCCAGCCCGCCTGGCTGCTGAGCTCAAGCTGGTGCCGCTTTTCCTCCAGGCCCGCCACCTGAAGGGCACCAGGACAAGGTGAGCCAGGGAATTCAGCTGTGCTTCTGCGACACTGAAAACCACGTTTATCTCGGACAGGGCTGCCAGTTCAGAATGAAGTGTTGTTATTCTTAAAAATAAGCCTATTTCACCTACTTCAGAGGAGGTTACTCCGAACACAAGAGGACCCTACAGCTCCTACAAAGCTGTGTGTCCACCGGCAGTTAAAACCGAAATCGTCTCTGTGGAGTTAGTACCACCAAGAACTAAGAACTTCCTCTTTTCTTGAGGAAGACTCTTCCCAAAGCCATGGGGTGACCCAGGCTCAGCCTCCAGGCCGCACGGCCGTGCATGTGATGCACTCAGGCCCCCCGAGAGGGACGGGGGCCCGGGCTGGGGTGCGGTGGCGGGACCACGCCAGCGACGCCAACAGTGCCCAGAGCTGCAAAGTCGCCTGCAGAAGCGCTCACGCTCTGTGCATCATGAGTGAGCCCCCTGCACAAGCAGCCGTCCGTCATGGCCTTAGGAAGGTTGGCCCACGAAGGGCCACAGGAGGGCTGGCACGGCGCTGGGAAGGACGGGCCTCCTGGAGGCTGGAGCCCCCCAGAGAAGGGGTAAGGCTGCGATGGCTGCCAGCCTCCCAACCCACCTCCAAAACCACCCGCAGCTGGGCGACTGCTGCGAGGCAGGACGGGCCCAAATGAGGCGGAGCGGTACACAAAGGCAAGAGGCAGAGGAGGCCGGGGCGTACCCATGCCAACCTCAGGGTCAGGCACGGCCCCTCAGAAACGAGGGCCTGGCTGAGCCGCACAGCTACCGCTGGGAATGCAGGGCAGGCACGGCCACGTGTGGGCTCACAGCAGAGCGGGGAGGCGCCGCTGCAGCCACCACAGCTCCCCCGCGGCCCACAGGCGCCAAGCCTGGCCTTGCTCTTGGAATCACCCGGGGCCCCAGTCCACCACCGTCAGCCCCAGTCTGACCAGCCCCTGCACTGTACCACCTGCGCAGAACCAGAAGTGACCCCTGACCCACGGGAAAGCGCACCTGAGTGGAGGAGCAGCTGCCGTGGAAAGGTGCCTCCTTCCCAAAGAGCTTCCACGCCCCCCGAGCCGTGCCGGCTGCCCCATCACACACCAGCCAGGGAGCGAGCCAAGCCGGCCAGCACTCAGTTCCAGGATGTGGCCGTGAGACTGTGGACAGAGAGCCTGGCTCGTATCAGGTGAGACCTGAGAACTGACACTCAGCTCAGCCATCGGTGAAAGCCAACTTTCAACTCTAGGACATCTGGGTACAGGTCAAGTCCTTCCAGTGAAAACCCAGCAACCAAAGACTTAGCAAGAAAAATAACATTGTACAGTCTGTGTTTTCACACTGATTACACGTTGACGTGACGTTATTTCAGGCATTTCTGGTTAAACTGATCATATTGTGAGTGTTATTTAAAATCCTCCTTTGGGGAAGGGCTGTGGGGCCCTGAACTCACACCGAGCTGGCAGGGTGTTCCTACCCGTCAGAGACGACTGGGCCCACATCCCAGGCTCTTCCTGTGGCTCCCGTGACGAGACGGGGCACCCAACGTACCTGCCGACTGCTGCGGGGGAGCCGCGCCAGCCGCACGCCCGACATGTCAAACAGCCTGACTTGGCGGTTGTCGTGGGGGAGGGCAATGATTTTCTGGCCGACGCACACGTTGATCCTGCAAAGACAAAAGCCGGTTGTGTACAAACGGTGACAGCACAACTTCCTGAGCTTATAGATCGCAATGCAGTAAGATACTTCGTAGCATCCACACTTCAAGGCAAAGCACAGCAGCAAACCACAGGTGCCGCCAGAAAACAGACCGAGTCACCTCCGTTGCTTACATGGTAACACCTGGCCACAGACGGCTCGTTCTGATTCTCAGAAAGCTCAATACACCAACCTGAATTCATTCCTACGTTCCAGTGTTTACAGAATACTGAATTTGCAGTAGAGGATCAATAAAAAATATTTTCCCAGGAGTCGTCTGAACCGCTCTTCCCAAGGCTCCGTCAGGTAACGCTGACTTACAGGAAGCAGACGCCCGCTACACCCACCCTCTTAGGCACCCCCGGGGTCCCGTGAGGAGCCGCAGCCTCACCTGTTGATGGCAGAGTCTGTGCGAATGGTCGCGATGGGGGACCGCATGTTCTTTAAATCCCAGACCTTCACAGTGCGGTCATCGCTGCCAGAAACGACGTTGTCACCCACAGTGAACACGGCAGAGGTCACGGTACTGTGGGTAAAGGGCATAAATAAGGTCCCGTCCACACCGCGTAACCAACACCCTTGTGCTGCCACAGACCCCAGCAGGTGGAGGGAGGCCAGAGCCACCAGAGCCAGGGAGCTGTCGTCTGGCTTCTGCTCTGCTCACGGCTCCGCCAGCCTAGCCTGCTCCCTGAGCTTTCCTGCTCCACTCCACCTTCTCCAGCAAAGAGGAGCAAAGAGCAGCCACCACCGAGATGGACCAGGCTACAGAGAACCTGCCACAATCTCCATGTGTTCGTGCCTAACAGCAGACAGTTAAAAAAAAACCTACCCCAACTGCAACTTTCAATCAATTTAATCAAAACACTGGAAAAAATTTCACTCCAACAAGAACAATTTTTAAAAAGGGTTTCAACAAACTTGTCTCCAAGGAAGGTTTACAGGTGGCCAAAAGGCCCACAAAAAATGCTCACCACCACTAATCATCAGGGAAATGAATGAGACCAGCTCATGAGTCAGAACAGCCGTCTGCAAAGCGACAAGAGACAGTGAGTGCTGGCCAGCCTGTGAAGAGACGAGCCTCCTGCACTGCCGGTGGGAATGCAAACTGCTGCAGCCACCACGGAAAGCAGTGCAGACTTTCCTCAGAACTTAAAGATGGACTGACCATGTGACCCAACAGCCCCACTCCTGGGTCTGCACCTAAAGAAACAAAACACTAACTCAAAAAGACACCCGCACCTATGGTCACTACAGCACTGCTCTCAACAGCAAGTGACGGGCGCAGCCTGTGTGTCCCC